ATGTTTTATGGGTACAAAAACATCAATACAAGTATAAAATAAACTTTTTAAAATTATTAAAGGCCTCTAGCTTATAATCCTCACAACTGCCTTATTTAGGTAGCATTACTGAGACAAGCTATTCTATCTCACTGAATTTTCCAATTAATGAAAACCTTCCAGAAGCAAAAACAAAACAATTTCATGCAAATCTTTAAAGTATTTATTACGCTACTCTGTGATGCCATAAGTATGCCAAAGCAAACTGGAATCTTTCACTGATCACTTAGCAACATCCTTATGGCACTAAATCCCAGTAATGCCCACAGGGGGCTTTAAGAACTTCACAAGGGCCGGGGATTTAGCTCAGTGGTTCTGCTGCCTACCTTGCAAGCAAGCGCAAGGACCTGAGTTCGAGTCCCGATACCAAAAAAAAAAAAATCATAAAATGATCTAGACTTCTGTACTACCTGAGTTTCATATCTGTTTTTTTGTTGCTCCTTCCTCTTTGTTAGGCTGTTATTCCTTCTCATTGCACTCTTGAGGCCTGTCTTTTGCAGCATACAAAACCTCTCCCTTCCTAAATTGTGATTTCTAATCTACCAACAACTGAAGCAAAACATTATCAGAAATACCTATAGAGAGCAACTAGACTTGAATGAATGCCTGATTCTCTCTCCAACAGATTTCCTAACTCGTGATATAACTTACAATGAAAATATTATTAAACTATATTGCAGGTATCATATCTCATGAAAAGTCAGCACATTATTATTGTGTTATCCCTAATATTTGTGTAAAATATACCAACCTTTAACTCGATGAATTATTGTTATGATTTCCTGAGCAAATTCTCCAGTAGATTTGCTTTCAGTATTGTGAGATAAATTGAGATGTTCAAACACTGGATGAAAGTTCTCAATTTTCCTGCCAGCAGCAACCAAATCATGTGATATCTGTCTCTCTTCAGAATAGCTAGATGAAACCCTAGAATAATTGACAAATATTTAACTAAATTTGATTATTTTACTAAGAATATAACCTACTGAAAATTAAGATACCTAGAAAACTAAAAAGAAATTTATCTTTTCTTATGATTACAGCACTAAAGTATATGCTGAAAAACATGTATAATAACAATTAGGAGAAAATAGCTATAGATATATGAGTTCTTTTCAAATCAGAGATCAGTAAATATTTACCATTTTAATAAAAGCTTTAGTGTTTTAAGTGAAAGAATTTTTACTTTAAAAATACAAAGCATTAAAGACAAATTAATTTCTACTTCTAAATAGCCACATTTTAAATCCAGTAAGATTATACAACTTGAAATAAAACATTTTAAAAACTGATTATTAAACATAAGAACCTCTGACTTCATAAAAATCCTTATCACTCTATTGGTAATGAGAAACAGAATAGTATTTTGAACTTGAATTGTTTAAAAATTAATTTAATCACAAAATCTCACTCAGAAAATAGGTATTAGCAAAGTTCCGATTATTAATAGCAAATTGCTCTAATATGCCCTTAAAGAAATGCTACCATGTTATATAATCCCAGCTATTTTACCACTTTAATACCTTGTGCAACTTTAGTTAATTTTTTGTGGTGCTAGCATTGAACTCAGGGCCTTGCATGTGCTAGGTAAACATTCTACCACTAAGCTACATCCCGTCTGCTACCTTCCGAAACTTTTTACATTAAGTGCTATCCTGATATGTAGGCAATACTATAAAGTCATTATCATGATATAGAACTAACATTTATTGAGGGTTTACCAAACATCAAACATAAGGGATTAGAGCTAACTACCGATATCTCATAATCTTTATAACAGTCCTCTGGGGAATGTACAATAAGCACTGAAACAATGAAAGTTCTGGTTGTTTGGTTGGTTTTACATCCCAGAGGTTGAGTATTTAAATGAATACATCTTACAAGTTTCTTAATGGAAAATTATGCTTTTGGCTTAAAACTATTCTTAAATTCTTTGTTGGGAGGCAGCATTACAGAAGAAAATGTCTCATTTTATTTTATGTCTTACTTTGGACCCAAAATGGAATCAGTCAGCTTGTACCTATCTTATTCTTTGGTATTTGACTTTAAATTCCTTTTGGTGCTTCCCAAAAATCAAGTTCATTGTCCAAAGACCTGAAATTTAAAACTGATGGGTTCTTTTTGAGTATGTAACAGGTTCCAAGGGTAAATCCTAGAGATCGCTGAAGTATGTTTTATATAACAGAAGGACCATTAGAATAAATTATATCTCATCAGAAACAAAAAGCAATTAGATAAGTTTTGGGGTACAGGTGCATGTATGCATGTATTTACTTATTCAAGTCACACAGCCATATATTGAAAACTGTCCCAGGGTCCTGAGGGGCTTACAGATATTTTAAAAAAATTAATTCCTATAACAAAATGGTTTAAAGTGCCTATTGATCAATTATTATAAGAGAGGCTTCCATCTGCCTTCCCATGCTCCCTGCTCTCAGACCAGCAGTCAGAGACAAATCCCTGCCAAAGCAAAAATACAGAAAAGTGATTATGCAGCAGGCTAATGCCACTGCTGTGGTTCTTGGTCCATCAGGCGGACTTTCATTAGAAGATCCATTTCCCTTCTTTCCTAATTTGTTCCAAGTTCCCCACTGGGCACTTGATAACTAGCTAAGAGACATTCACTGTTAAAAGCAAGAACAGTGCATGACAACCTCCAGAAACAAAGAGTTACAAAAAGAGGTTTAATGTTTTAAAAATCCTGTTCCATAATAAAAAATACAGCTTTGAAACTATAGGGAGAAATCAATTGATTTTTTTGAAGCATCAGTTTATCATAAGAGGAGATCAGGTAAAAAAAGTTTCCAGTTTTCATTGTATAATTATTAAAATTTACTTATACTACAAATTAATTACCAGCACAATTCATGTCTCCACTCCATATGCAACACACAATCCATACAAGGACTTTAGCATGTTTTCTGCTGTAGTATAATTTGAGGTTATATTTAATTCCTGAGAGCTTAGTGTTTAAAACTGTTATCAGATAAAACCTGGGCCAGGGATTTAGCTCAGTGGTGCTGCAGCCTGCCTCACACATGCAAAGTCCCAAGTTCAATCTCCAGTACCAAAAAAAACAAAACAAAACAAAACAAAAAAACTTATCCTAGAATTTAGAGCTCCCTCATTACAAGATTTTAAATTAAAAATATTAAAATTAGGGCCAGGGATTTAGCTCAGTGATTCCACCACCTGCCTTCCAAACTCAACAATTTGAGTTTGATCCCTAGGTACCCCCACCAAAATTAAAATTATCATTTTCCAGAAAAATACACTTTAAAATAGTATAACCCCAAGCTTTAGTCCCTTTAAAAAATCAGGAGGCTGGGGATGTAGCTCAGTGGTAGAGTGCTTGCCTAGCATAACGCTCTGGGTTCAGACCCCACTCCAGTACTACAAAACAAAAACCAAAAACATACTATTTATAATTTTTTTACTACAAGAAAAACTCCAGACTTGTGAATGAAAAATGTTCTAAGCGTTAGTATTTGTAAACCTGAGTAACTCTTGGTTCATACTTTCCTTTTTATTATTTATGACATGGATTGATTAACAAGTTAATAATTTCAGGAAATTTCCCCAAAATAAGTAGTTACGCTGGAAAGACTAAATGTTCTCATTTGAAAAGCATCTTAGAGCGTTTTATGAATTAAAATATAGCTAAGACCCTGACTTCTAATGCTACTTCTAGTACTGGGCTCAAATCTTCCAATTTCCTTTGTTCCTTTCCCTGACTTTTCCCATGTTTTTCTCTGTTTAAGGATATTTCCACTGATGTTCTCCTTGAGTGCTATGCACAAAAAACCAAGAAAATATAAAAAGCTACATTAAACCTTAATTAGCTATTGTACATACTTAGGACTCATAAAAAAAATGTATGTCAAACCACTGCCCACAAAAAAGTAAACAAAAAAACCTCAAGCAAACAGACTGGCCTGCCCTCCGGAAGCTTAGGCTATATAATAAAATCCATTGCTCCTACATAACTTCTACCTCTGATAATTAACCTTCTGACAGAGTGGGTCACTAGGACATAGTCTTTCTTAACAGAAGTACTATGCAGTGAATGTTCAAGCAATTGTCTCCCTACTGTTTCTTTTTTTTTTCTGCCTATTGTTTCTAGCTACAATCTGGAATCTGGAAAAATCACTAGGGGATAATCTCATGTTTTCAACCATACTGGTAATTGAAGGAACAAATTTCAATACTCGATCAAAGCTAGCAAACAAATGCACAAAATTAACCATCTTAGTCCTTAAAAAAATGGATCAATTCTAAATTTTAACCAACAAATAAATCCCTCTCTGCACTACTCTATGATTATTTCAATCTTTTCTAGCAAAGAAAAATCTAATTTATGTTAATAGTCGAAAACATAATTTTATTGAGGGCATTAACTACCTTTGTTTTATGGATATTTCATCAGTACATACGTAATAAATCCAACCTGCAAAACTCTTCCATAACTCAGTCACCAGTAAATTGTAATTGAAGAGAAAGATTTCGTTGACTATAATGCTTTATTGTACTGAAAAGATGCACATATTTGTTCAGTTATTTATTCTTCAGGTCTTTGTCTAGAGAGAATTTGCAGTCAAGGCTCTTTATTACGTAAGTCATCCTGCAGGTTCTGGTCAAGCATTGAAATGCATCCTGCCAGGTTTCACTGATGGATCCTGAGTTCATAAAATTACAGTTTACAAATTCAAAACAAAAGTGCAGGAGCAGCATCAATTTCGGAAAGTTCATTTTTGTGACACATGAAGATCAAGCTTCCATTTCTCATTTCAAATTATAAAATTAACTGTACAGTATCTTAATGAGGTCTACTAAAATAAAATCCTTCAAAATTTGTATTTTTAGCATTCTTTAAAAGTACAACGGGGCCGGGGATTTAGCTTAGTGGTGCCACCGCCAGTCTTGCAAGTGCAAGGTCCTGAGTTCAATCCCTGGTACAAAAAAAAAAAAAAGAACTACAATAGGAACAAAAATATTGCTTAAAAAAAAAGCTACAATATATTAATTCCTTTTAAGTACAAATATACATTAGTATATTTTATAGTATCTTGTGCAATTTCAACAAATGTAGGGGAAGTATGAAGGAAGACTTCCACGTCTAACTTTAAGAAAAGGAACAAAAATATTGCTTAAAAAAATGTTGCGTTTAACTCCTTCCCTATCTCCATCCTACTCTTTCAATTTTCTTTTCTTGCTTTTGATTAAAATACAAATAGGAGTCAACTGTGAATATGTATCAAGTCAACAACGTCCATCATGTTTTCATTCACATATTGGTAGTGTACTAAGGCAATGAACAGATTTAGCTGACACAGCCAAACTACAGTACCTGGCTATTCTCAGAATCCATAAATGGGAGATAATATTAATAATAAAGCATTCAATCTTGTTTTAGGAAACTATAAGCTATTGTAACAGTAGTCTGTTTTTTTTTCTTCAAGAATCATTAAAAGCTAAAGTACAAGTCTTATAAATAGACATCTTTCCAGATTATGGACTAATTTCTTCTATTGGGAGAATCCAGTCAATTAAGCCCAGTCATTTTGGGATGGCAGCAGGAACCACATTAAGTCTCCCATCTCCTGCAGTCACAAGGGGATAAATGGATTTAAACTCCAGTCACTTTTGACATAGGTGAGTCACTTCACCTCTCTGAGCATCACTTTCCTCCTCTGTTAAATCAGGACCCTGCTAAAGTCCCTTCCCTAAAATTCCTTGAACATCATCAGGCAACAGAGAACACAAGCTCCGAGAAACTACAAAGATCAGGTCTCTTTGAATTCCGATCCCTGGATAAGGAATATTTGGCAGCACAGAAATACGTGAATTCATGAGGAAGAACAATGCCATGGAATTCTTTTCACCCAAGAAACATCTGGCGACAGGATGTGGAACCAGCAGACATGCGATTACTATTATTAATGGCAAGGTCCACTTTCATTACAGGGTTTTTTGGAGGAAAATCCAGGTGATCCTTCTACCCCCATGGACTCTAAACACACTACAAGTTCTATTCCAAAGCTGCAAATAAAGGTGGCGAAAGATTAAAGATCATACCTGGGTGGATCTACATTTTTCTTCACATCTACTTTAATTGTAAGTGATTTCTTCCCAAGACTGACAGGTGAGGGTTTCACATTGGAAAGGTTCTCACTTGTATCCGGTAGGTTACTGGAAGAGTTGTTCACTTTTTTGCAGTCTTCTTCTTTCTTCCTTTTTTTCTTCCACTTGTCATTACAGGGCTTCAAATTAACTTCATTTTTACTTGAATGAGCACAGGGAATGTGGTCTTTCTTAGGTGGTTTAACAGGATCCTTGACTAGCCCACCTTCAGTCTCTTTCCCTCTTCCAGCATTAGTACATTCTGACTCTTTATTTACAGGGCCTTTTGGAGAATATTTTTTATCTTCTTTCAAGTATTTCTGAGTTCTCCCATCAGCAAAGTCCTGGTCATCATCCGAGAGCTTATGCTTGTGGCGATAGTCATAGGATACTTTGGTTGCTGAACTGCTCTCTGGGTATTCCCTCTCAGTGTATCGGTAAGCTTGGTGTCCGAAGTCCCGCTCATTCTTCTTCTCTTGATAAGATGGAAAAGAATGCTCAGGTTTCCACTTTGGGTTCTTGGCAGGCTCTCTATCTTTGTATCTCTCCACATCCTTAGTTCTTTTTGATGTGTGTCCATATTTTCTGAAATCACGATCCTCAGGATACCTGTGTTGACATAAAGCAGTTTATACTTGCACTACAGAGAAGAAAGGGAGAATTTATATGTGTAGAATGTTGGAAAGCATGGTTTTAAATGCAGAATGCAGTGGCAAGATAACCCATAATCCCTCAAGCCAATTCATAGAGGCACATGGTAGTTAAAGAATACCATCTTTAAAAAATATTTTAGCCAGGGCTGGGGATTTAGCTCAGTGGTGCCGCTGCCTGCCTTGCAGTGCAAGGTCCAGAGTTCGATCCCTGGTACCAAAAAAAAAAAAAAAACCCAACAAAAACAATATTCTAGCCATTAATATGATTTACTCTAAAAAGAAACATTTCACTACTAGTAGCAGACCATAACGAAATTACAATGCTTTCTATCTTTTTAGACAAAAGAGTTTCAAGGTGGTTATCTTCAACTACACAGAAAATACTTTTTCACTTGAGGCTTTATACCAAATTACCCAGGTTTAATGTTTTCCTATACCTCTTCTGAAAAGAGCTCCTTGTTTCAAAGTCTTCTTGGCCTCTTCTAGGTAACTGGGAATATTTTTCTTCTTGTATCCGCTGGTGTCTGAACTCATCATCATGCCACTTTCCTTCAAATGTAAAGGAATCTTCCATTGACCTCTGAGGTGGTTTCCTTCCTCTCTCTCTGTAGTTATCAGGAATATACCTCCCTTGCATTTTATGGGGATAAGGATCCCTCTCATACTCTAGGTAGGGTGTATCCTCTGAGTATGTGGGCATATACTGAAATCTTCTGCTGCCATTCCCTCTTCCAGGCGAGTATACTTGGTGAGGCTTATACATGTAAGCATCATCGAAAGAATTTCTTATGTCTGGGGAAGGTGATCTATGTTCATAAGATCTATGATAGAAATATCCACGATGGGGAATCCTTGTTTTATTCTCTCCATGTTTCTCATCATCCATTCTCCAAGCATTATGTCTTCTTGGATCTTTTCTAGATTCACAGCCATAATGCTCAGAAGAATATCTTTGCTTGTAGTATTCAAAATTTCTAGGTACTGGTGATAAAGATCTACGTGAACAAACACAGAAAAGTTTAGTCTATTTTAAGACAATAAACTAAAGTTTATCTTTATGACCTACCTAAAATGTTTGTCTTTCCAAAAATTACCCTGCGGCTCCCACTCAAACTAAATACGTCAGTTTGCTGTCTATGAATTTGGAATCGTATATTGGGGGTCTGAAGATGGCACTGCCTAACCTGACAAGCACATTCTTTCCATCTGAACTAATGTATTCCACATGAATAGAAAAATGGGCTGGGTACACTCATCCTATTGGAAGAAGACCAGCTTAGGCATATAGCAGGATCCATTTTGGAAGATTGCTGATAGTAAAATCTGGCAAAACGCCATGCAGTGATTTCAAGTGGCCAGTCAGCAAAAGCTTAATCAGGTAGAACAGCAAAGTGAGAAGCTGAAGGAATAGATTTACACAAGCAAATGTGCAGAAGAATGTCTGGAAAATTGAACATGACCTCTGAATTTAAATTAGATTCTAAAATGTAATGATGTCACAACCCAAACTCAGATCCAAGATTGACACCATAGCCGGGTGTGGTGGCACACGCCTGTAATCCCAGCACTTGGGAGGCTGAGGCAGGAGGATCACTGTGACTTCGAGACCAGCCTGGGCTACATAGTGAGTTCCAGGTCAGTCTCAACTACATAGTGAGACCCTGTCTCAAAAAAACCAAGAACCAAAAGCCAAAAAAAAAAAAAGAAAAAAAACAAGATTGACACCATAGTTTCTTCCACTGACTGTCTATTCTCTCTTAAGTATATATTAAGGAGTAAAAAACATATACTTAACAGGTGGTAGGGGAGGGAGAGTCAAGTCTTAAGACTTGAATGTTATATTCAGTTCCTCCAAGAATACCTTCTAGCACAGATAAATTGCTTTTCTTTCCCACACCTATTCTGCATGTGCTGTTCAAACAGAGGTGGTAATTTTGGTGAGAGCGTGCTTTAGTAGAGATATAATGCTCTACAGAGACAGCACATTCCTTTTGGATCTACTTTCCCTGACATTGCCAATATGGAGCTTCATATTTATACTAAAAAGGAAAGCTCCCGCACCCAGGTAAACCAGTGTGAGTTGCCCAGTCTTAAAGTTGAGAGAGAGAAGTGCCACTGTCTAGAAGTCAACAAAATTCAATTTTGCACCTAAGGACCCCCCCATCTGACCTGTCCAATATCTCAATCTTAATTTCTTCTAAATAATGAAGAAGCTACCCTTGCAGGTTTTTAAATCAAACCCTCAAGAGCTACTCCAAAGTTGCAGAAACTATGAGTGAATCTCTTTTCTTTTGGTGCCAAGTCTTTATTCTCCACACAAGAAAGGGTACATATATGCAATACTGCCCTCTAGATTCATCAAGCTAGGCATACTGGCAAGCACTACTTAGGGGAAGCACAAAGTCCACTATCTAGCTGGCTGTACCTCCTCACAGGAGGGGAAGCAACTATAGCCTCTGAGGACTTCCTGGAAGATTTCATCTGTTTCACTACTAAGGAGAAAAGCCGGCAGTCACAGGCAGAGGTCTTCCAGACTGGATGAAATACCCAAGATCTTACTTGAATCCTGACTTTATATTAAAAAATATGTTGATGTTATATTTTATATCATTTTTTATTGTACAGTACTCCTTTCTTCGGGAGAAGTTTGCTGGACTGCTGCTATCATTTTTGGTTATCCTAAAGCAGTGATGGTGAACCTTTTAGGGACCGAGTGCCCAAACTGCAACCCCAAACCCACTTACTTACCACAAAATGCCAGTACTGCAATTAAACCCGAATACTGAGGTTTTAGTTTAGAAAAAACAACTGTCACCCGATGCTCCGCTGCTGGATCGACTTGGCTCACATGTTGACAGAGAAGGCTCTGTGTGCCCCTGTGGCACATGTGCCATAGGTTCGCTACCGCTGTCCTAAATCCAAGGAATCTGTTGGGAGTCGGTTCTCCACAGTCTGCCTTATGAGTGCAGGCACTGACAGTTCTTGCTGCAAGGCAAACAGCCTTGGAAATAGAGATAGGATTTTCCTTAGGGACAGAGAGCTAGCTGATTTGTTTGCTGCCCAGGATAATAAGACAATGCCTCCTCCAAGGCAAAGGATGGGAGGATTTGCTCTCAGCTCATCATGGGGGACTCAGGTTTCTCAGCTGTCATAACCCCACTGTTCTGCAGCATCCACCCAGCCAGCCCTTCTGCAGAGCTGGCCCTCAGGGGATGCACAGGGCAAGGGGAAGGGCAGGAATATGAAGCTTAGACAGCCTGCTATACTAAGAGTAATAAAACCCTTTGTCTCTGATCTTGGAGCACTTTGTATCAGGCTGATGAGTTAGGTTTCAAGTGGGGTCAAACATTTTGCTTGACCAAGAAACCTGAGAAGGAATCCAGGAATCAGGCACTAAGCTTCGTAGGGTCTCTTGTACCTCTTATCAGAGCCTAACACAAATGAGTGAAACAAAATGACCCCTATGATACCTTCCATGTTCGAATCATTTGCTTCATTACATTTTAGTTTACTTCCGAAGTCCTCTCATTAAAGTTTGGTCTTGTGAATTACAAAATGAAAACTGCTGAAGAACTAAATGAATAAACACATTGGCCAAGTTACATTAATATGAAGATCATGGTTTGATTTTTTGTGCATATACTTGTGATCATTTTTAGTTCTAAAACAAACTAGTCACATTTACAGCTCTGAGCCTTTGCTCTTAACTGGAATACTTTCTTCACTCTTTCTGCCTTTAGAAATTTTATCCATCCTTAAATGTTGAGCCAAAAACTTTTCTTGTCCTAAGAAATTTTTCCTCTACAAAAGCGGAATGATCTCCTCCCTGTATATCCAGAATGCTTTGTCCCAATCAGTAGCAGTGCATTTTTCCCGCTGTCGTAGTTGGCAATCTCCCTGTGTGCTTGCTGAGGCCAGGAAAGTCAGTATAGCAGATGTACAATAAAAAAGTGGCTTAACTGCTTCAATCTAATTACATATACTCTTGATACTACTTACCAGAAAAGAGACGCATTAAACTACAACTGAACTATTCAAAACTATTATTTGACCATGATAAAGAAATAGGAAATGCTGGGGAATTAGCTCAGTGGTGCTGCTGTCCGCCTCACAAGCGCAAGGTCCTG